AAACACCAAATAAAACATAACCCTACAAGTAAATAGAAATACAACAAAACCACAAAACCGATCCTACAACCAATCCCAACACCACCCCTACCACAAACACCAAATAAAGCATAATCCTACAACTAAAATTAAATACAAAAGACAACCCCAAACCAACCCTACAACCAGTCCTAAACCACCCCAACCACCACAAAGAAATTCCCACCAGAAACACTAAATAAAACATAACCCTACAGCTAAAATTAAATACAAACCCCCCCCAACAAACCGTGCAACCAATCCTAACACAATTCCCACCTCAAACACCAAATAAAACATAACTCTACAACTAAAATTAAATACAAAAACCCTCAAAATCAACCCTACCACCAATCATAACACCACCCCAACCACAATTCCCACCACAAACACAAAAAATAACATGATCGTACAACTAAAATTAAATACAAAATACCCCCAAACCAGCCCTACAACCAATCCTAACACAATTCCCACCTCAAACACCAAATTAATCATAACCCTACAGTTAAAATTAAATAAAACAAAACCCAAAACCAACCCTACAGCCAACCCTAACACCACCCCAACCACAGTTCCCACCACAAACACTAAATAAACATAACCCTACAGCTAAAATTAAATACAAAGCAACCCAAAAATCAGCCATACAACCAATCCTAACACAGCCACAATTCTCACCTGAAACACCAAAGAAAACATAACCCTACAATTAAAATTAAGTACCAAAAACCCCAAAACAAACCCTACAACCAATCCTAACCCAACCCCAACCACAATTCCCACACAAACACCAAATAAAACATAATCCTACAGCTAAAATTAAATACAGCAAAACCCCAAAACCAACCCTACAACCAACCACAGTTCCCACACAAACACAAAATAAAACATAACCCTACAACTAAAATTAAATATAACAAAACTCCAAAAACCAGCCCTAAACCAATCCTAACACAACCCCAACCACAGCTCCCACCTCAAACACCAAATAAAACATAACCCTACAACTAAAATTAAATACAAAAGAACCCCAAAACCAACCTTAAACCAATCCTAACAACCCCAAACACAAACACCAAATGAAACATAACCCTACAAGTAAATATAAATACAACAAAACCACAAAACCAACCCTACAACCAATCCTAACACAACCACAATTCCCACCACACACACCAAATAAATCATAACCCTACAATTAAAATTAAATAAAACAAAACCCAAAACCAACCCTAAACCAATCCTAACACAACCCCAACCTCAAACACCAAATAAAACATAACCCTACAGCTAAAATTAAATACAAAAGAACCCCAAAACCAACGCTACAACCAATCCTAAGAACCCCAACCACAAACACCAAATGAAACATAACCCTACAAGTAAATATAAATACAACAAAACCACAAAACCAACCCTACAACCAATCCTAACACAATTCTCACCATAAACACCAAATAAATCATAACCCTACAACCAAAATTAAATACAACAAAACCCCAAAACCAGCCCTACAACCAATCCTAACTTAATTCCCACCACAACTCCCACCTCAAACACCAAATAAATCATAACTCTACAATTAAAATTAAATACAACAAAATTGAAAAACCAGCCCTACAACCAATCCTAACCCAACCCCAACCACAATTCCCACTTCAAACACCAAATAACCATCTAGAAACCCCAAACAAAACATTAACTCTTTCAATACTTCAGTCATCCCTCAAATTAAAAAAAACCCACAAACATATAAAAAACCATTAAAATAGTAAAATCAATAAAAAAATAAATCCCAAAAAAACCCCAAAACCTTAATCTTAAAACTAAAACCTCCTTATAAAACTATAAGAAAACCCCTCTATTTCCCTATAACACAAAAAAACCCAAATTAAAAATGTTGAAATTCAAATCAGTATCAAACACACGCCTCCACAGCAGGGTCAGAGTGTGTCAGCACAGGAACTCTGAACTCCCAGCAGCCACAGCTCCAACCCCAGCTGGAACAGGGGGGCCTGGAGGTGACTCCCAACCTTCCCAGGCTGCACCTTCACAGCCAGGGGGGATTCCCGGCTTTTCCTGGGATTTCCCAGCCTGTCCTGGGATATCCCAGCCTTTCCTGGTATTCTCAGCCTTTCCTGGGATTTCCCAGCCTGTCCTGGGATTTCTCAGCCTGTCCTGAGATTCCCAACCTTCCCAGGCTGCACCTTCACAGCTTTTCCTGGGATTTCCCAACCTGTCCTGGGATTTCCAGTCTTTCCTGGGATTTCCCAGCCTGTCCTGGGATTTCCCAGCCTGTCCTGGGATTCTCAGCCTGTCCTGGGATTTCCCAGCCTGTCCTGGGATTCTCAGCCTGTCCTGGGATTTCTCAGCCTGTCCTGGGATTTCCCAGCCTTTCCTGGGATTCCCAACCTTTCCAGGCTGTACCTTCACAGCCAGGGGGGATTCCCAGCTTTTCCTGGGATTTCTCAGCCTGTCCTGGGATTCCCAGCCTTTCCTGGGATTTCCAGCCTGTCCTGGGATTTCTCAGCCTGTCCTGGGATTCCCAACCTTCCCAGGCTGCACCTTCACAGCCAGGGGGGATTCCCAGCCTGTCCTGGGATTTCCAGCCTTTCCTGGGATTCCCAACCTTTCCAGGCTGTACCTTCACAGCCAGGGGGGATTCCCAGCTTTTCCTGGGATTTCTCAGCCTGTCCTGGGATTCCCAGCCTTTCCTGGGATTTCCAGCCTGTCCTGGGATTTCTCAGCCTGTCCTGGGATTCCCAACCTTCCCAGGCTGCACTTTCCCAGCCAGGGGGAAGCAGCTCAAGCCACTCCAGGCCATGCAAAGGAAGGATGTCAAATTTCAATTCCTGCAGACCAGAATTCTGTCCTTTTGTTGCCCAAAATCTGCTTTTCTTGGGCTTCAAACCAACTTTGGCTCCTGCATTCCTGGCTCCAGAGGGCTGGGCCTGCATGGAATGTCACTGATGTTATTTCAGTTTTGGCTCTTTACCCTCCTCCTGACACAGTGCCCCAGGGGGAAAAGGGATTTCAAACTGCTCAGCTTGCTCCCTGATCTCACATTTACCCTTTTCCACCATCCACAATCCAGAGGAGCAGGGGGCTAACACAAAGCCCTGCCCTGCCCTGCAGAGATCACTCCCAGGAAGGATCCTTCAACAGCCCCAATCCCTCCTGCCAGGAGCCCAGGACACCCAGGTGCCACCATCACATTCTCTGAAAAATCCCTTGCCCAGGATGTCTCTCCTGGGAAGCCTCAGAGAAAAAGGAAAACAATCCTTATCTCATTTGCTTCTCCTGGGTTTTGCTGCTCTGGAATGTGGTTTGGACATTGCTTGTCCAACAGGTGATTGTTCATTAATTTAATGTGAATTGTTTTGACTTAGAGACCAATCAGGGCCAGGCTGTGTCAGACTCTGGAGAGAGTCATGAGTTTTTAATGATCATTCTTTGTAGCCCTCTGTAAGTATCCTTTCTCTATTCTTTAGTATAGTTTTAGTATAGCATTCTATAATGTAATGTAATGTAATGTAATGTAATATAATATAATATAATATAATATAATATAATATAATATAATATAATATAATATAATGTATATATAAAATATATATTATATTATATAGTATTATATAGCATTATACATAATATATATTTTATATAATATGTTATATAATATATAATATATACTGTATATCTAATATATAATATATTAGATATCATATTATAATATATATTATATATAAAATATATAATATAATATAATATAATATAATATAATATAATACAATACAATACAATATAATGATAAATTAACCTTCTAAGAACATAGAGTCAGATTCCTTCTTTCCTTCCAATGACAGGGACCCCAGAAAATACCACACCCAGGGAGGGCTTTGGGTGGGACACAGGACAAATCCTTCCCTGGCAGGGTGGGCAGGGGCTGGGATGGAATTCCCAGAGCAGCTGGGGCTGCCCCTGGATCCCTGGCAGTGCTCAAGGCCAGCTTGGACAGGGTTTGGAGCAGCCTGGGACAGTGGAGGTGTCCCTGCCATGACAGGGGTGGCACTGGATGAGGTTTTGTGTCCCTTCCCACCCAAATATTCCAGGATTCCCTAAGGATGAGCTGGGCTCAGTGCAAGGTGCCCATTCAGCCCCATCCCAGCCTGGCCACAGCAGCACAAACCCACCCAGGAGCACCACGGCCACTTCCAGCACACCTAAAACTGAAGTGTTCCCAGCAATAGATGCTGCCCCGAAATGCCTATTTCCCCACACAAAGGAGCCCCCAGAATTGCCATATTTCCGACACGCAGTTATGTCTGTGAGAAACAGCACACGGATTAACGCTCATCAAAGCTTTTGGGTGTAAAGGATTGCTCAGAAACGCTGCAAACCCTCTGCTGTAAACATCTGGCTGCTCCCGAGAGCAGCAGACAGCAGAAGGGCTCCCTCTGGAGTGGATCCCGAAAATGGGAATGGAACAAAGCCCAGGCGTCCCTGCCTCCCGCTCCTTCCCTCACCTCCTCCAGGGGCCGGAGGGGATGGAGCCATGCCCGGAATATTAAGTCATTAATTGGTTTTCCTGCGTGGGCTTGTATGTGGCAAGGAGGCAAATTAAAGGATTCCTGAAGAGGCAGGAAAGCTCTCTCAGCTCGTGGAACCCTCCCAGCAATCAGGATCCCTGTTTTTATACATGATTCCACAAAAGCCTCAGCAGCCCAGCCCGGGGCAATCAAATTCCCTGGAAAGGGAGAGGGGATAACTGCGACACACAGACACACACAGACACAGACACACACAAACCATCTCTGCTGGGAGCTCAGGGAGGCTCTGCTCCACACCCCAGGCAGAAAAAGCCCCCCCTTCATTCCCAGGGCTCATTTGCATACAAGCCAATTAACAGAAAATGGATTTCATGCAGGAAAGGGGGAGAAAAAAAAAGTCAGATCACCTACAAGGTGAAGTCAACTTACTGCCTGCTTTTGTTCTTCTTCCTAGAGAGGAGGGGAAAAGGTGGAGAGAGAGAGAGAGGGGAAAGGTCAATTATGATGTGAAAGTGATGATTTCACCCAAAACACCCAGTGAAAGGGCAGGACACGAGGGCTGAGGGGCAGCACAGGTGACATTTGTCCCATTATTTGTCCCATTTGTCCCATTTGTCCCACTGTCCCACTCTGGTGCCAGCAGGGATCCCTGGCTGCAGGAGAGGACACCCAGGGGTGTTTCTGCTCCTTTGGGCAGGAATTTATCACCTCAGGCTGGCACAGGGAAGGTGCCCTGCCCATGGCAGGGGGGAACTGGGTGGGATTTGTGCTCCCTTCCCACCCAAACCACGCCATGATCCTCAAACCCTGCTCCAGACCTCGAGCTGCCCTCGAGCCAAAAGACCCCAAATCCATCCCCTAAAACCTGGAGCTGCCCCTGGGAGTGTCCAAACACACACAAAAGGGGCAGCACAGAGCCCCAGCAGCACAACATCGCCAGGGCCAGCTCCCCTGGCACTGCCAAGGGCAGAGGAAGGAGGCTGGGAGGGCACAGGACAAGGAGCAGAGATGCTGAGCAGGGAAAGAGCAGCTCCTGCACTGCAGGAATGTCTCAGTACCAAAAAACCAAAGTGAAATTGAGGTGAATTTGTCCCCTTTTGAAGCAGGGAGATGTCCACTGTGGCTGGGCTGGGCTGGTGGAGGCACATCTGCCCTCAGCTGCAGCAGAGCTGCTGGGAATGAGCAAAATGTCCCCCAGGCCAGAGCTGCCTTGGGAACTCAGACATTCCCGTGGATTTTGTCCTCTCACAGACGAGAGCCAGCAGGGCTGTGACCCCGTGTGTGGCACAGGGGCTGCAGGAGGGGCTGCTGGCTCCAATCCCAATCCCAGCCCTTCCAGGTGAATCCCTCCACCAGCAGGAGCAGGGCCAAGCACAGCCCCCCAGAAATCCAGGTCATGGAATTAAAATCCTGGGATAAAAGCTCCTTCTGGCCTGGAAATCCATGAACCCATTTATCACCCTTCCCCTGCTGATCTCCCATCTGAGCAGGATTAACCAGAACCTTCCCCTTAATTTAAAGCAGCTTCTCCTCGCTGACCACTGAGAGCTGCTTTCCCACCCAGCCTGGGGGACAATTCTCAGGGTTTGAGAAGATGTTTTTGGGTTTTTTTTGCCAAGATCTGGGGTTCCTTCAGGTGTGTCCTTGGTGTTGCTTGGCAGGTGTGGGGCCTGGCCCTCCCCACATCCCAAATTCCCCCTTGTGCCTCCCACCAGCAGCAGCACCAGATGGGGACCCAGCTCAGGGAAAAGATCTTCAATCACCTCCACACCACACACACAAAAAAAGAGTTGTTGCTTTGAAAAACGAGGCCCTGGCATTGAGCACAGATGTGAAAATCCCTCTCTGAGCAGGGCTGGGCTGGCTGGGGCTGAGCAGTGCAGGAAATCACAGAGGAAATGGCCAGGGAGGAAATGCAGGAGGGAAATGGGATCTGTCTGCTGGATAAATCACAGAGGAAATGGCCAGGGAGGAAATGCAGGAGGGAAATGGGATCTGTCTGCAGGATAAATCACAGAGAAAATGGCCAGGGAGGAAATGCAGGAGGGAAATGGGATCTGTCTGCAGGATAAATCACAGAGGAAATGGCCAGGGAGGAAATGCAGGAGGGAAATGGGATCTGTCTGCAGGATAAATCACAGAGGAAATGGCCAAGGAGGAAATGCAGGAGGGAAATGGGATCTGTCTGCAGGATAAATCACAGAGGAAATGGCCAAGGAGGAAATGCAGGAGGGAAATGGGATCTGTCTGCTGGATTTCCATGGAGCTGGAAATGGGAGGAGCACCCAGGGGTCCCCAGGGACCCTCGGCACAGCCAGGGGGGCTGTGGGAATGAGGGAATGAGGGAATGAGGGATGGAGCCACAGCCCCAGGATGGCTCAGGTGGGGAAATCCCTGAGATCCCACCTGGGGACACCTCCCACCATCCCAGAGGGCTCCAGCCCTGTAAAACCTGGCCATGGACAGGGGCAGCCCCAGCCTCCCTGCCCTCCCTCCCAGTCCAGTCTGGGATTGCAGAAATTCCCAGAACTGGAAGCCCAGAGAGAAGGGTCAGCACTGCCAGGGGAGGATTTGTGGGGAACACTCAGAAATGCCAACCCTGCCTCAACTGCAGCAGCCTGGGGAAGGCCCTGAGAGGGGCCAGGAACAGCAGGAGATGATGGGGGGTCAGTTAACCCTAACCCTAACAAACAAACAGCATGGTCAGAAATGACAGAGTGGGAATGGTCAGAAATGAAAGAATGGTCAGAAATGACAGACTGGGAATGGTCAGAAATGACAGAGTGGGAACGGTCAGAAATCACAGAATGGGAATGGTCAGAAATCACAGAATGGTCAGAAATGACAGAGTGGGAATGGTCAGAAATCACAGAATGGTCAGAAATGACAGAGTGGAATGGTCAGAAATCACAGAATGGGAATGGTCAGAAATCACAGAATGGTCAGAAATGACAGAATGGTCAGAAATGACAGAATGGTCAAAAATCACAGAATGGTCAGAAATCAGAGAACCAGAGCAGTCAGAAATCACAGAATGGGAGGGGTCAGAAATGACAGAATGGTCAGAAATCCCAGAACCAAAAGGGTCAGAAATCACAGAACAGGAACAGTCAGAAATCACAGGACCAGAACACTCAGAAATCACAGAACAGGAACAGTCAGAAATCACAGAACCAGGACTGTTTTGGCTTGGAAGGGACCTTGTCCAGGGCCTCTCCCTGCTCTGAGTGCCACCAGCACAGCGTGGGGACAATGGCTGAACCTCAGGGACAGCCCTGCATGGCCTGGCACAGATGGAACCATGGAATATCCTGGCTTGGGAGGGACCCCAGGAGCAGCACCCCAGCTCCTGCCCTGCCCAGACCCCCCCAAACCCCAGCCTGGCCACCCCTGGCTGTGCTGTCCAAACCCTCCTGCAGCTCTGCAGGGCTGGGAATGTGCCCTGGGGAGCCTGGGCAGTGCCAGCACCCTCTGGGGACAGAACCTTTCCCCAAATGCACCCCAAACCCCCCGGCCCAGCCCTTCCCTGGGTCCTGTCCCAGAGATCAAGGTCAGAGCTGCCCCTGGGGGAAGCTGCTGGCACATCCAGGACCTTTCCTCACTCTCCTTCCCTTCAGAGGGGGATTTGAGGCCCCAAACTCCGAGGCAAGCAGGGCTGGGTGAGCTGAGTCCAGCCCTAAACGGTGAAATGAAGGCAGCATTAAAAATGTAAAAAACACTGCATAAGGAAATGGAAAAAAATCCCCATAAAAGCTTAACAGCTGATGTAAATTATACATGAAGAGCTCTGAGGAGCTCCAAGTGATGAGAGAAGCTAAAACCTGGCGGGGGAAAATCGTGTCTGGCAGGGCTAAAAGCACTGAAAATGAGAGAGCTGGAGATAAACAGCAACACCAGGAACAGAGCAGAGCCTGGGGCCGGGCTGGAATCCCGAGCAGGGCAGGAGGGACCCCGGCTCTGCCTCCTCCCCTCCCCTGCAGCAGCAGCTCTGACACCAACCAGGAGAAAAAGGTGTCAAAAGTACCTGGGAGAAATGAATGATATTTTTAGCTCAGCAGGATGGGGAACTTGCAGCTTAAAATAATTCCCTTAAAACATTTTTAAAAATTAAAAAAATAATTTAAATGTAATTAAAATTAAAAAGAAATTAAACTAAAATAAATTAAATAAAATAATAAAGTACTAAATTAATAAAATAAAATAATTAAAATCCCTTAAAATAATGAAAATAATTTAAAAATATTTTTAATAATTAAAAAATAATTTAAATAAAAAATAAATTTAAAATAAAATAAAATAAGAATAAATTAATAAATTAAAAGAAAAGGAATTAAAATACCTTGAAATAATGAAAATAATTTAAAAACAAATTTTAAATAATAAAAAATAATTGAAATAAAAATAAAAATAAATTAAAAATAAATTAAATAATAAATCAATAAATTAAAATACAATAAAATAAAATAAAACAAAATAAAATAATAAAATAATAAATTAATAAATTAAAATACCTTGAAATAATGAAAATAATTTAAAAATAATTTAAAAATAATTAAAAAATAATCAAAATAAAAAATAAATAAAATAAAATAAAATAAAATAAAATAAAATAAAATAAAATAAAATAAAATAAAATAAAATATTAAGATCCCTTTAAATAATTAAAAAATAATAGAGCCAGGAGCTGCCTGGGGCAGGGCAGGGAATTTGGGCTGGGGGTTCAAACAGGGAGGGGAGGCAGCTTAGAGGAGAGAAAAAAACTCCTTGGGGTGACCTAAGTGGGACCTTGCAGGGCCTGGAGGGGCTCCATGACCTGAGGCTGTCATTGCTCAGTTCCTGTTGCTGCATTGGGGATGCTGAGCCAGGGCCCGCTGGCAGGGGGCACAGGAGCTTCAGAACGGCCTGGAAGGGAAATCTTGCCAAGGAAAGCTGGTTTGGCTCCTTGAGTGAATCCCAAGTGAGGTTTGGGAAGGCACAGACACAGGAAATGTGCAGGGCAGGGGGGTTTACCCACAGCATCCTCACCAGCCAGCCAGCACAGCAGGAAATAAAGAAATAAAAATAAAACTAGAAAGATATAATATATAATATATAATATAGAATATAGAATATAGAATATATATTATAGAATATATAATACATTATATAATATATATAGTATATAATATATAATACATTATATATTATATATAGTATATAGTATACAGTATATAATATATGGTATAATATAATATATATAAAATAAAATTATAAATATAAATATAAATATAAATATAAATATAAATATAAATATAAATATAAATATAAATATAAATGTAAATATAGGCAGGAACTCAACCTCCAGCTTGCTTTTCCAAATATAAAAAAATAAAAATAAAAATACAAATAAAAATAAAAATACAAATAAAAATAAAAATAAAAATAAAAATAAAAATAAAAATAAAAATAAAAATAGGCAGGAACTCGACCTCCAGCTTGCTTTTACAAAATATATTAAAAAAAAATTATATTAAAAATCTGGGTAGGGCACAGAGCCCATCCCCAAGCAGAGTGGAGCAGGGGCTGTGAGGGGCCCAGCTGTGCCTGTTTAAGGCATTTCAAATCCCTGTTTAAGGCATTTCAAATCCCTGTTTAAGGAGTTTTTACAGCCCTGGGGGAGCAGAGCTGGGCTCAGGAGGTTCTGATGGGCACAGCTCAGGGGGCAGAGTTGGAATTTTGCCCATTCCCAGCAGTTCTGCTGCAGCTGAATTTGTAGCTGGGTTTGAGGGAGGAGAACAAAGGGGGAAAACCCAGCTGACACTGAAAACCAGGCACAAATTTCTGATGTTCAGGCAAATCTGCATTGGCAGGGAATTCTGCACTTTGGATTCCCCCAGCTCCAGAGCAGATGCTGTTCTGGAAGAGATTCCATCTGCAGGGCTCCAGAGGGGGAAAAGGAGCTGGAGAGGGACTGGGGACAAGGACAGAGGGACAGGAGCCAGGGAATGGCTCCAGAGTGGATTTGGGTGGGATATTGGGAGTGAGGAATTGTTCCCTGGCAGGGTGGGCAGGCCCTGGCACAGCTGGGGCTGCCCCTGGATCCCTGGCAGTGCCCAAGGCCAGGCTGGGAGCTCCTGGGACAGTGGGAGGTGTCCCTGCCATGGCAGGGGTGGCACTGGGTGGGTGTTGAGGTCTCTTCCCACCCAAACCAGGCTGGGATTCCAGGATTTCTGTGATTTTAGAAGTCAGACATTAATGGGCTGAGCAGGGAAAAAAAACAGAGCAGAAGCACTGGCTTCAAAAAAAACCACAATTCTAAATCTGGCCAGAGAGTGGCTTCAGGAAAAACCAGAATCCCAAATTTGGCCAGTGAGTGGCTTCAGGAAAAGCAGAATTCCCAAGCTTGGCCAGTGTGTTGTGCTCAGGTGTGGGACAGAATGGGGACAGGGGCTGCAATTCCTGCCCAGGATAGAGGGAAGGGGCTGGAATTCCTGCCCAGGATGGGGAAAGGGGCTGGAATTCCTGCCCAGGATGGGCACAGGGGCTGGAATTCCTGCCTTCAATCCAGACCCAGAGAAACCCACAACTGGGACCCTCACTCACCCCCTGCCCTGCTCCCTGGTTATTTCCCAGTGACACTGGGGAGTGCTGAGCCCCAGGAACAAACCCTAAACTCCTTCAAACCCTAAACTCCTTCAAACCCCTCCAGATCTCAGATTCTGCAGGTTTTACCCACAAAAACCACAGTGGGGAGTGCTGAGCCCCAGGTCCCAACCCAAACTCCCTCAAACCCCCCCAGATCTCAGATTCAGCAGGTTTTACCCACACCAACCACACTGGGGAGTGCTGAGCCTCAGGTATCAACCCAAATTCCCTCAAACCCCTCCAGATCTCAGATTCTGCAGGTTTTATCCACAAAAACCTGGAGGAACCTTCACCCTCTGTGCCCCACACAGAGCTGGCATGGAAATGGCTGCTGGCAAACTCCTGCTTTTGGCATGGAAATGGCTTTTGGCAAACCCAGGGAGGGTTTCTAGGGAGTGGCAGCAAAGCAGGGAGCCCAGAGCACCCAGGGAGGGAGGGAGGGAGGAAGGAAGGGAGGAAGGGAGGAAGGGAGGAAGGGAGGAAGGGAGGAAGGGAGGAAGGGAGGAAGGGAGGAAGGGAGGAAGGGAGGAAGGGAGGAAGGGAGGAAGGGAGGAAGGGAGGAAGGAAGGAAGGAAGGAAGGAAGGAAGGAAGGAAGGAAGGAAGGAAGGAAGGAAGGAAGGAAGGAAGGAAGGAAGGAAGGAAGGAAGGAAGGAAGGAAGGAAGGAAGGAAGGAAGGAAGGAAGGAAGGAAGGAAGGAAGGAAGGAAGGAGTTGTGCCTTTGGTTCCTTACTTTGAGCAGCTTCATCAGCCCCTCCAGCTGCACCATCAGCTCTCTCCTGCTCTCCTGCAGGGCTGACATCCTCTGCTCCAGCTCATCCTTCCTCTGCCTGTGCCATGGGCGGGAGAGAGAGGAGACACAAACTCAGGCTGTGTCAGAGCTGCCAGGGAGGGAATTCTCCTCTGTGACACTGACCCTGGGTCCCAGCACTGTCCTCTTCACCTGCAGTGAAGCTCAGGACCAAAACCTGGAGGGGACAATTCCCTCTGTCCCCCCAGCCATGGAGCAGCAGAGAAAAATCCACTTTTTGTGTCTGTGAGCATCCTGCAGAGCTCAGAGAGAGCAGGAGGAGCTTTTGGGAGCAGGGAGAGGGAAAAGGGAGGGCAGGAAAGGCTGCAGGATTGTGAAAAATGCGGATTCTATGACTGGCTTTTGGCAAATATTCAGATGAATATTATATGTGCTATGTTAGAAAGTTATGCTGTATTAATTTTTTTAAGTAGTGTGTTAAATATAGTTTTAGTTTATAACATAATGTTAAAATAGAAACTATGCTATGTCAGATACATTTTTTAAAGAAAAGGAATGGAATTTATGCATCATGGATGAGCTGTATGAATATGCAACAGGCTGTTGCTTTTAAGGGTTAATCCTCTGTTAATGTGGGTCCTTATTTGGGCTTATTTTGCCCAGAAAAGGTACCTGGGCTGTCTGTAACTCTTTGTTTTTATTGTCTCATATTGTCCTAATCCAAATTGTCCAAATTTTTATTATTCTAATTATATTTCTATTTTTATAGCCATTTTATTACTATTAAATTAAATAGTAATTAATTATTAATATTAAATTATTAACTAGTAAATAAATAATTAGTAATTATTTATTGATATTAAATTAAATAGTAATTATTTAAAAATTAAATTAAATTAAAATTATTTTTAATTAATTAAAAAATATTAAGTTACATTAAAATTAATTTAAAATAAAAATTAAAATAAATTTTAAATAAATTTAAAATAAATTTAACATTATTTAAAAATTAATTTAAAATAAAATTTAAAATAAAATTGAAAATAAATTTAAAATAAATTTAAAATTCATTGAAAATAAATTTAAAATTAATTTTAAAATTAATTAATTAAATATTCATTTAAAAAATCTAAAAACAAGTGATTGGCAGTTTTCCCAAGGAGTGAGGGGGGACACAGAGCTCTCTGCAGTGCCACAGCAGCCAGGACGCGTCCCCTGCAGCACAGGCAGGTGACAGCAGGAGGTGACAGCAGTGACCTTGCCTTCCCTCCCTGGCTGCAGGAATTTCTGCAGCTATTTCAGGAGCTGGGACTCGGCCTGGGCTTGGTTTAAAAAAGGAAAGCGGTGAGTAATAAAGAGCAGCTCAAAGGCAGGCTTAGCCAGGCTCAGCTTTGTGCCACACACAGTGAGCAATGGCCCCAGGTGCAGTGACACTGGGGACACCAGGATGGCCCAGCCCTGTGTGACACCCTGGGGACACCAGGATGTCCCAGCCCTGTGTCACACCCTGGGGACACCAGGATGGCCCAGCCCTGTGTGACACTGCAGGGACACCAGGATCAGCCCTGTGTCACAGTGTGGGGACACCAGGATGGCCCAGCCCTGTGTCACAGTGTGGGGACACCAGGATGGCCCAGCCCTGTGTCACACTGTGGGGACACCAGGATGGCCCAGCCCTGTGTGACACCCTGGGGACACCAGGATGGCCCAGCCCTGTGTGACACTGCAGGGACACCAGGATCAGCCCTGTGTCACAGTGTGGGGACACCAGGATGGCCCAGCCCTGTGTCACAGTGTGGGGACACCAGGATGGCCCAGCCCTGTGTCACACTGCAGGGACACCAGGATGGCCCAGCCCTGTGTCACAGTGTGGGGACACCAGGATGGCCCAGCCCTGTGTCACACTCTGGGGACACCAGGATGGCCCAGCCCTGTGTCACAGTGTGGGGCCACCAGGATGTTCCAGCCCTGTGTCACAGTGTGGGGACACCAGGATGGCCCAGCCCTGTGTCACACTGCAGGGACACCAGGATGGCCCAGCCCTGTGTCACAGTGTGGGGACACCAGGATGGCCCAGCCCTGTGTGACACCCTGGGGACACCAGGATGGCCCAGCCCTGTGTCACACTCTGGGGACACCAGGATGTCACAGCCCTGTGTCACACCCTGGGGACACCAGGATGGCCCAGCCCTGTGTCACAGTGTGGGGACACCAGGATGGCCCAGCCCTGTGTCACACCCTGGGGACACCAGGATGGCCCAGCCCTGTGTCACACCCTGGGGACACCAGGATGGCCCAGCCCTGTGTCACAGTGTGGGGACACCAGGATGGCCCAGCCCTGTGTCACACTCTGGGGACACCAGGATGGCCCAGCCCTGTGTCACACTGCAGGGACACCAGGATGGCCCAGCCCTGTGTCACACTCTGGGGACACCAGGATGTCACCAGGCAGAATGTCACCTCCTGGAGGCTCTGAGTGCCCTGGGGCTGGCACTGGCACACTGGGGGTAAGCCCCAAAAAAAGTTCTTTAAAGGACAAAAAACTCTGGAATGTTGTTTATTATTATTATTATTATTATTATTATTATTATTATTATTATTATTATTATTATTATTATTATTATTATTATTATTATTATTATTATTATTATTATTATTTTATATTTTATATATTATTTTTTAACCACCCTGCATGCTGTCACTGACACACTGTGGACAATCCACAAAAAGAGTTCTTCAAAGGACAGAAAACTCTGGAATAGTAACATATTCCATATTCCATATATAAATATAAATATAAATATAAATATAAATATAAATATAAATATAAATATAAATATAAATATTTTAATGTAACAAATATTAACCACCCTGAGGGTTTCTCTGGCACTGGCACAATGTGGATAATCCACCCTGGGAATTTGTACAGGAGTTGTTCTTTAAAAGACAGAAAACACTGGATTATTATTATTATTATTATTATTATTATTATTGTTCACAGACTCTCATGTACAGCAAACATAATTTTCTCCTTAAGCTACTTTACCTCTTTAAGAGCTGTTCAGTGTGGTTTCCCTTTGGCTCTGTTTTTTAGGGTGTGTGCATTCCTTGGTTGTGGTTTTAGGGGTTTTTTAATTATTACTTTCAATTTTGGCTCTGGCCCACGCTGGCTTCAGGCAGTGAGTGTTGATGGTTGGTGTGTTTGTAGTAGGTGGTTTTTTCATGTGTTTGTTGGATGTTATCTCATCTAAGTAGATAATAATAATTATTATTGTTATTATACATTATAATATTGGCTTACATTATACATACATTATTATAATCAATTATAATAGTAATAAAAATTATAATAATACATTATAAATATTATACATAATAATATTGGCTTACATTATACATACATTATTATAATTAATTATCATAGTAATAAATATAATGCATTATAATATTGGCTTACATTATATATACATTATTATAATTAATTATAATTATAATAAATATTTATAATAATTATTGTACGTTATAATATTGGCTTACAAATACATACATTATAATAATTAATTATAATAATAATACTACATTATAATAATACATTATAATATTGGCTTACATTATATATATATACATTATACTAATTAATTATAATAATAAGTAATTATAATAAATAATTATGATAATTATTATACATTTTAATACTGGCTTTTTGCAAATATTAAAATAAATTTAAAAAAAATTATTAAAATAAATATTATATGTGTAATGTTAAAGTAGCTGTTATAAAGATCTGGTTTTTTTTATTTCTGTTAGTAATTAAGCTTGGGGAAATAACTAAGATAAGTTAATAATAATAACAATAATAATAAAAATAATAATTATTATCAATATACATTATAATACTGGCTTTTTGCAAATATTAAAATAAATTTTAAAAATATTATTAAATTTTAAATAAATCATTAAAATAAATTTTATATGTGTACTGTTAAAGCAACTTTGTCATAAAGGTATGGGGGTTTTTTTCTGTTGTTAATTAAGCTTAGGGAAATAACCAATATAAGTATCTAATAATAATAATAATTATTATTATGATTATACATTATAATATTGGCTTTTCACAAAATAAAATAAATTTTAAATAAATTATTATTAAATTTTAAATAAATTATTAAAATAAATTTTACATGTGTAGTGTTAAAGTAACTTTGTCATAAAAATATGGGGGTTTTTTCTGTTGTTAATTAAGCTTAGGGAAATAACTAATAGAGGTATCTAATAATAATAATAATAACAACTATTATTATACATTATAATATTGTCTTTTCATGAAAATTTTAAATAAATTATTATTAAATTTTAAATAGATTATTAAAATAAATTTTATATGTGTAATGTTAAAGTAACTTTGTTGTAAAGATCTGGGCTTTTATTTCTGTTGTTGATAAAGCTTGGGGAAATAACTAATATAATTGTGGTAAAATGCCTACTTTGCACAGGGGAGTAAAGGTGTTTTGTCAGAGGAGTAAAGGTGTTTGCACAGGGGAGTAAAGGTGTTTTGTCAGAGGAGTAAAGGTGTTTTCTTGGGGGTGTAAAGGTGTTTTCTCAAAGAGTAAAGGTGTTTTCTCAAAGGAGTAAAGGTGTTTTCTCAGAGGAGTAAGCATGGGAGTAAAGGTGTTTCCCAGGGCAGTGAAGGTATTTTCTCAAAGGGGTAAAGGTGTTTCCCAGGGCACTAAAGGTGTTTCCCAGGGGGTAAAGGTGTTTCCCAGGACAGTGAAGGTGTTTCCCAGGATAGTAAAGGTGTTTCCCAGGACAGTGAAGGTGTTTCCCAGGGCACTAAAGGTGTTTCCCAGGGCAGTGAAGGTGTTTCCCAGGATAGTAAAGGTGTTTCCCAGGGCAGTAAAGGTGTCTCTCAGGACAGTAAAGGTGTTTCCCAGGGCAGTGAAGGTGTTTCTCAAAGGGGTAAAGGTGTTTCCCAGGACAGTGAAGGTGTTTCCCGGGACAGTGAAGGTGTTTCTCAGGGCAGTAAAGGTGTTTCCCAGGGCAGTGAAGGTGTTTCTCAGGACAATAAAGGTGTTTCCCAGGGCAGTGAAGGTGTTTCCCAGGGCAGTGAAGGTGTTTCCCAGGGCAGTGAAGGTGTTTCCCAGGACAGTAAAGGTGTTTCCCAGGGCAGTGAAGGTGTTTCCCAGGGCACTAAAGGTGTTTCTCAGGGCAGTAAAGGTGTTTCCCAGGGCACTAAAGGTGTTTCCCAGGGCAGTGAAGGTGTTTCCCAGGGCAGTAAAGGCGTTTCCCAGACAATCACCCCCACCATGCCCAGCCCCACAGGTCCCTGGTGCCCAAGCTCCTCCCTGGGCTGTCCCACCATGGCAGGGAGGTTTGTATCCACCTCTGAACCCCAAGGAGCTCAAGGGGTTGCACCGGCCCCGAGTGGGAGATGGCCCAGCCCCGCAGCCAAGCCCGGTAGCCTGGCAGTCCATCCCAGTACCCCAATAGCCCATCCCAGTATCCCAGTATCCCAGTAGCCCATCCTGGTGTTCCACTAGCCCAGGATCCCAGTAGCCTGGTAGCCCAGTAGCCCAGCCCAGTATTCCGGTATCCCAGTAACCCATCCCAGTACCCCAGTAGCCCGGCATCCCAGTATCCCATCCCTGTATCCTGGTAGCCCATCCTGGTATCCCAGTAGCCCATCCCAGTATCCCCATAGCCTACCCCTGTATCCCAGTACCCCAGTACCCTGCTATCCTGCTAACCCAGTATCCCGCTATCCCAGTATCCCAGCATCCTGCTATCCCAGTATCCCAGCATCCTGCTATCCCTCTATCCCAGTACCCCACTATGCTGCTATCCCTCTATCCCAGTACCCCAGTATCCCATTATCCTGCTATCCCAGTATCCCTCTATCCCAGTACCCCAGTATCCCTGTACCCTGCTATTCCAGTATCCCAGTATCCTAGTACCCTAGTACCCCACTATCCCACTATCCTGGTAGCCCATTCCAGTACACCAGTACCCCAGTGTCCTGCTATCCCAGTATCCCAGTACCCTGGTATCCCTGTCTCCCAGTATCCCAGTACCCCACCATGCCAGTGTCCTGCTACCCCAGTATCCCAGTATCCCAGTACCCTGCTATCCCAGTATCCCAGTATCCCACTATCCTGGTAGCCCATTCCGGTACCCCAGTACCCCAGTATCCTGCTATCCCAGTATCCCAGTACCCCAGTATCCTGCTATCCCAGTATCCTGCTATCCCAGTACCCCAGTATCCTGCTATTCCAGTATCCCAGTACTCCAGTACCCCAGTACCCTGCTCTCCCAGTACCCCAGCCCCCCAATACCCCAGCCCCCCAGCACCCCAGTACCCTGCTATCCCAGCCCCCCAGCACCCCAGTATCCCGCTATCCCAGCCCCCCAGTACCCCAGCCCCCCAGCCCCCCAGCACCCCAATACCCCAGTACCCCATCACCCCATCACCCCAGCCCCTCTCTGGCCGTGCGTTACCGCAGCAGGCGCAGCTCAGCCAGCAGCGTGGGGTTCTGCTGCGCCTTCTCGGGCGTGGGCTGCGAGGCCTGCTCGTGCTCCAGCCGCAGCCGCTGGATCTCCTGCAGGATCTCCCTGCACACAGGGAAGGACAGTGTCAGCGCTGGGAAAAGGCTGCTTAGCACGGGCTTTGAGCAAATATTCACATTAATATTGTATCTGTGATGTCACAAAGTTAGGCTGTATCAATTTTCCTGTTTATAACTGACATTTCACAAATATTAAAATTAATATTATATCTGTGATGTCAGAAAGTTAGGCTGTATCAACTTTCCTGTTTATCATTGGCTTTTCACAAATATTAATGTGAATACTTGTCCTAGGGTGACATTATGATGCTTGTATCCCCACCCATGTGTTCTGTTCATGCAGGATATCATGTTCTGTGCCTTCCAGACTGGCTCTGCAGAGCGAATGTTTTGTTTTGGTTTTGCTCTCAGCCGCTCCCCCACGGCTGGCAGGACACACAGACAGGGCAGTACATGGTGCTGCTTTTGCTTTTTGCTTTGCTCTCGCTCTTGCTCCTGCTTTGCTCTTGCTTTTTGCTCCTGCTCATTAGTTAGTTTAGCTGAGCAGTCTGAATTTTTCCTGGCCTGTTTCTCCTTTCCCATTTTTGGACCCACTCAAACCTGCTCCAGACTGGGACCTGGGGAACACCGAGAGTTTGCACCTTGTGGCTGCAGCAGCTGCCCCAGCACAGGAGGGACTGAGAACAGAGCGACCACCCCCAGGAGAGACTTTCTGAATTTGTCATCATTTCAGAGCGGTGTCACCTGGTATTGTTCATTCTGTTTGCTGGGGGTGCTGTGCCTGTTAAATGAACAGGTTCTTTCCACTTCTCTCTGAGGAATCCTTCCTGAACCAGTTGTGGGGAGAGGCCGTGTGGGTTTGCTTACTGGAGGGGCCCCTTGGGAAGTTTTCTCCCAAATTTGCCATAAACCAGGACATGGGCATAGCCAGGCATGGATAAGGATGCGGGCACAGCCAGGACAGGGATGTGGGCACAGCCCCAGGACAGGGATGTGGGCACAGCCAGGACAGGGATATGGGCACAAACAGGACAGGGGTGTGGGCACAGCCAGGACAGGGATATGGGCACAGCCAGGACAGGGATGTGGGCACAGCCCCAGGACAGGGATATGGGCACAGCCAGGACAGGGATGTGGGCACAGCCCCAGGACAGGGATGTGGGTACAGCCTCAGGACAGGGATGTGGGCACAGCCCCAGGACAGGGATGTGGGTACAGCTCCAGGACAGGGATGTGGGCACAGCCCCAGGACAGGGATGTGGGCACAAACAGGACAGGGATGTGGGCACAGCCAGGACAGGGATGTGGGCACAAACAGGACAGGGATGTGGGCACAGCCCCAGGACAGGGATGTGGGCACAAACAGGACAGGGATGTGGGCACAGCCCCAGGACAGGGATGTGGGCACAAACAGGACAGGGATGTGGGCACAACCAGGACAGGGATATGGGCACAGCCCCAGGACAGGGATGTGGGCACAGCCCCAGGACAGGACAGGGATATGGGCACAAACAGGACAGGGGTGTGGGCACAGCCCCAGGACAGGGATGTGGGTACAGCCCCAGGACAGGGGTGTGGGCACAGCCCCAGGACAGGGATGTGGGCACAGCCCCAGGACAGGGATGTGGGCACAGCCCTGCAGGACCTGGCACATTCTTTGCTTCCCTAGGATCAATCCCTCCCTGCAATCTCTCCAGCCCCTGGCACAGAAGAGGCTCAGATGTGCTCCAGGAGCACAGAGGCTCCAACCCAGCCCTCAGGGGCTGCAGGAGGGCTCTGGGGCAGCCCTGGCACAGCCCAGGGCCCTTCTCCCAGCAGGAGCAGCCCATGGGGACAGCCCCAAACCCTGCAGAGGGACAGGCCCTGAGCAGGGGCAGCAAGGCCCAGGGCTCCCTGCAGCAGGGAGGGATGGATGGAGCCCTTCCAAGAGCACAGAGTCCCCTCCAGCTCTCCCTGCTGCCAGACTGCAGAGCTGCTCTGCTGCCAGCATGGGCTGGCATATCCCTGCTCCAGGATCCCCATTCCAAACTCCTGCCAGGGCCCCTGCTGGGCCACCACGGCTGCACCAGTGCCAGGGCTCTCACAGACACGTTTCATGGAAATCCTTTCTTTAGGATCTTTTTCCTCCTGAGAAGCTGAGAGGCCTCAGGAACAAAATGTAAATAACCAATGGTTATCTGCTGCTGTGGGATGCAACAGGAACAAAATGTAAATAACCAATGGTTATCTGCTGCTGTGGGATGCAACAGGAACAAAATGTAAATAACCAATGGTTATCTGCTGCTGTGGGATGCAACAGGAACAAAATGTACATAACCAATGGTTATCTGCTGCTGTGGAATGCAACAGGAACAAAATGTACCCAATGGTTATCTGCTGCTGTGGAATGCAACAGCTGCATCTGGGATTGGTCCCATGTGGTTGTTTCTAATTAATGGCCAATCACAGCCCAGCTGTCTCAGACTCTGGTCAGTCACAAGCCTTTGTTATCATTCTTTCCTTTTCTATCCTTAGCCAGCCTACTGATGAAATCCTTTCTTCTATTCTTTTAGTATGGTTTTAATATAATATATATCATAAAAAAAATAAATCAGCCTCCTGAAACATGGAGTCAGATCCTCTTCCCTCATCCTGGGACCCCTGCAAACACCACCACACCAGGGCTGAGCTGCTCCTGCTCCAAAGGGCCCTGGAGCAGCCTCTTCCCTCTGCTGAGGGTGCCTGGGGACAGGGCTGGGCACAGGGAGAGCCTGGGGGGCTCCACAGGTGACCCCTTGCAGCAACAGAAATCATCTGGGTGCCTTTGGAAGGGACCTCAGAGCCCATCCAGAGCCACCCCTGGCAACTCCCACTGTCCCAGGTGCTCCCAGCCCCAATGTCCAGCCTGGCCTGGGCACTGCCAGGGATCCAGGGGCAGCCCCAGCTGCTCTGGGTGATGCCTTGGGCAGGCTGAGCTGGAGCAGAGGCTGGCCAGAGCTAAAGAATAAAGCAGGGATTTATTGAAAGGATCTCCTGCATGGATCCACCTTGGGCAGCACCAGAGCCCAGCCAGGGCTGCACCCAAGATGAACCCAAATGGTCCCAAAATGAACCCAAGATGAACCCAAATGGTCCCAAAATGGACACCCAGTCCCGGGCTCTGTCACTGTGATCTGCTCCATTTGCATCTTGCAGTTCATGGTCCCGTTCCAGCTTTAGCCCATGCAGTCCCACCCTGCTTGTTTTTCTCTCTTCTGTTTGTGCTCTTGGGGCTGAGATTTGGATCATTTGTCCTTGGTGCCCAGCTGGAGCAGGAATTGTTTTGTCTCCCTGCTCTGTACACAGAGCTCCCCATGCCCTGATATGAAATCCAGACCCCCACACTAAAGCAGCACAGAATGTGAAAAACAGAAAAGCCAAACCTGAGGCATCATGGGCACCCTGGGCCAGGGCCTGCCCACCCTGCCAGGGCACAATTCCCCATTCCCAATTTCCCATCCAGCCCTGCCCTGTGGCACTGGGAGCCATTCCCTGGCTCCTGTCCCTGCAGGCCTTGTCCCCAGTCCCTCTGCAGCTCTCCTGGAGCCCCTTCAGGCCCTGCCAGGGGCTCTGAGCTCTCCCTGGCTCCTTCTCCTCTCCAGGTGAGCACCCCCAGCTCTCCCAGCCTGGCTCCAGCCCTGGAGCAGCTCTGGTGGCTCCTCTGGGCTCTCTCCAGCAGCCCCAGGTCCTTGTGCTGTTGCAATGCCCAGGGCAGGTGGGCTCTCACCTGGGCACAGGGACAGGATCCCCCCTTTCCTGCTGGGGGATCACTCCAGGACTGGGGATTTGGGGGTTTTGGGGATTTCTGGGATCAGATCCCAGCTCTGAGGTTTGCTGGATGTGCTCAGTGTTGGAGAAGATGATTTGAAGATTAGAGAAGATCAAACCCCCTCCCCACGGCCAATTAACTCATGTTAATGAGTAATTAATCAGTGAATGAGGGGGCTCCAGCCCAGCAGCAGCAGCTGTGGGGCAGCAATGGGGTCAGTGTGGGCAGGCAGGGCTGCCCCAGCAGGGGCTGTACCTGTTCTTGTTCTCCAGCTCTGCTATCAGCTGCCTCTGCTGCTTGTTGGCATCGAAGCTGAAGGGCAGATCTGCAGGAGGGCGAGGCTGCAGAGAGAGCAGGGGGCTCAGAGAGGGCAGAAATCACGGGGAATGCAGTCACAGAAATCACAGGAATCACAGAAAACACAGGGAATGCAGTCACAGAAATCACATGAATCACAGGGAATGCAGTCACAGAAATCACAGGAATCACAGAAATCACAGGGAATGCAGTCACAGAAATCACGGGGAATGCAGTCACAGAAATCACAGGAATCACAGAAAACACAGAAATCACAGGGAATGCAGTCACAGAAATCACAGGAATCACAGAAAACACAGGGAATGCAGTCACAGAAATCACAGGAATCACAGAAATCACAGGGAATGCAGTCACAGAAATCACAGGGAATGCAGTCACAGAAATCACAGAAATCACAGGGAATGCAGTCACAGAAATCACGGGGAATGCAGTCACAGAAATCACAGGGAATGCAGTCACAGAAATCACAGGAATCACAGGGAATGCAGTCACAGAAATCACAGAAAACACAGAAATCACAGGGAATGCAGTCACAGAAATCATGGGGAATGCAGTCACAGAAATCACAGGAATCACAGGAATCACAGGGAATGCAGTCACAGAAATCACAGAAATCACAGAAATCACAGGGAATGCAGTCACAGAAATCACAGGAATCACAGGGAATGCAGTCACAGAAATCACAGAAAACACAGAAATCACAGGGAATGCAGTCACAGAAATCATGGGGAATGCAGTCACAGAAATCACAGGAATCACAGGAATCACAGGGAATGCAGTCACAGAAATCACAGAAATCACAGAAATCACAGGGAATGCAGTCACAGAAATCACAGGAATCACAGGGAATGCAGTCACAGAAATCACAGGAATCACAGAAATCACAGGGAATGCAGTCACAGAAATCACAGAAATCACAGGGAATGCAGTCACAGAAATCACGGGGAATGCAGTCACAGAAATCACAGAAAACACAGAAATCACAGGGAATGCAGTCACAGAAATCACAGGAATCACAGGGAATGCAGTCACAGAAATCACAGAAAACACAGAAAACACAGGGAATGCAGGCACAGAAATCACAGGGAATGCAGTCACAGAAATCACGGGGAATGCAGTCACAGAAATCACAGAAAACACAGAAATCACAGGGAATGCAGTCACAGAAATCACAGAAATCACAGAACCATACAGTCACAGAAATCACAGAAATCACACAAAACACAGCAATCACAGAAATCAGAGAAAATACACAAATCACGCAATCACACAAATCACCGAATCACAGAAATCACACAGTCACAGAAATCACAGAAAACACAGAAAATACAGTCACAGAAATCACACAGTCACAGAAATGCCATGAACCACAGAAATCACACAATCACAGAAATGCCATGAACCACAGAAATCACACAATCACAGAAATCATAGAACCAAAGACAATACAGTCACAGAAATCACAGAAAATACAGTCACAGAAATCACGCAATCACACAAATAATAGGAAACACAGAAATCACACCAATGACACAACCACACCAATGACACAACCACACCAATGACACAATCACACCAGTCACACAATCACACCAATGACACAACCACACCAATGACACAATGACACAACCACACCAATGACACAATCACACCAGTGACACAATCACACCAATGACACAATCACACCAATGACACAACCACACCAATGACACAATCACACCAGTGCCACCAGTGCCACCAGTCCCTCCCTGGTTTGCAGCCACAGCTCCCAGCCCTGGGGCACCCCAGGGTGCTCTGGTGGTCCCAGGGCAGAGCTCCCTGCCCACCCTGCACTGCACCAATTCCATTTTCCTCACTTTTTTGAAGCCCTTCAGGACACAAAGCCCAGCCCCAGAGCCTCCATGGCTCCTCCTGGCCCCAGAGCCAGATCTTGCTTTGCTCAAAAGTTCTGCTGAAACCCTGAGGGACACCTCAGCCTTCATCCCATCCCACCCTGCCATGGCAGGGACACCTCCCACAGTCCCAGGGTGTGCCAGTGTCCAGCCTGGCCTTGGGCACTGCCAGGGATCCAGGCTGGGCACCCTGTGCCAGGGCCTGCCCACCCTGTGCCAGGGCACAATTCCTCATTCCCAAGATCCCATCCAGCCCTGCCCTCTGGCACTGGGAGCCATTCCCTGGCTCCTGTCCCTCCAGGCCGTGTCCCCAGTCCCTCTGCAGCTCTCCTGGAGCCCCTTCAGGCCCTGCCAGGGGCTCTGAGCTCTCCCTGGATCCTTCCCTTCTCCAGGGGAACATTCCCAGCTCTCCCAGCCTGGCTCCATGCACTCCTCATCCTCCCAGCCGATCACCCCACAAACCCAACCTTCCCCTGCCTGCTGCCATCCCAGCAGAAGGCACAGAAATGGGGGATGCGGTGTCCCTGGAGCCCCCCGTGTCCCCCAGGGTCCCCAGGGCAGGACAGGGCACTCACAGCATTGCCAGCCTCGGCGGCCAAGCGCGCGGCGTAGCGGGCGATGAGCCGGTGCTCCTCGTCCAGCCGGCCTGGGCTGTCCAGGGCACTGCAAAACAATCCAAAACAATCCTCAGTGAGACAGGGCACTGCCAAACCAACCCAGAGCCAGCCCAGGGCACTGCAAAACCAACCCAGAGCCAGCCCAGGGTTCCAGGACACTCCCAAACCTGACAAGAGTCAGCCCAGGGCACTGCCAAACCTGACCACAGCCAGGCCAAGGAACCTCAAAACCAACCCAAAGTGAGCCCAGGGCTGTCCAGGGCACAGCAAACCAGCACAGGGTGAGCCCAGGGAACTGTGAAATCAACCCAGAGCCAGCCCAGGAAAATGTAAAACCTGACCAGAGCCAGCCCAGGGAACCTCAAAACCAACCCAGAGTGAGCCCAGGGAACTGCAAACCTGACCAGAGGGAACTCAGGGAACCTCAAAACCAGCCCAGGGTAAGACAGGGCTGTCCAGGGCACTGCAAAACAGCACAGGGCAAGCCCAGGGAACCACAAACCCTGACCAGAGCCAGCCCAGGGCACTGCCAAACCAGCCCAGAGCCAGCCCAGGGCTGCCAGGACACTCCAAAACCAAGCCCAGAGCCAGCCCAGGGTTCCAGGACACTGCCAAACCTGACCAGAGCCAGCCCAGGGCACTGCAAACCAACCCAGAGTGAGCCCAGGGCTGTCCAGGGCATGGCAGAACAGCACAGGGTGAGCCCAGGGAACTGTGAAACCAACCCAGAGCCAGCCCAGGGCACTGCAAACCAACCCAGAGTGAGCCCAGGGCACTTCCAACCAGCACAGGGTGAGCCCAGGGCACTGCAAAACCAACCCAGAGGGAGCCAGGGCACTTCCAACCAGCACAGGGTGAGCCCGGGGCACTGTGAAACCCGACCAGAGCCAGCCCAGGGAACCAGAGCTGGGTGGGAGGAAGATGCAGGGAGAGGATCCAGAGGGTTCCCCAGCAGCAGAGGAGGGAGAGGGCTCACACACAATGCCCTGAGTTACAAACACCATTCTGGGTGATCTGACCCCTCTGTGCTCCTTGCAGGGCTGTGGAAAGGGCTCACAGAGAATCCTCTGAGTTAAAAACTCATTTCCAGGTGATCTGGCCCAGATCTGTGCTCCTTGCAGGGGTGTGGAGAGAACTCACACACAATCCCCTGAGTTACAAACACCTTTCCAGGTGATCTGACCCCTCTGTGCTCCTTGTAGGGGTGTGGAGAGGGCTCACACAGAATTCTCTGAGTTACAAACACCTTTCCAGGTGATCTGGCCCCTCCTGGCAGTGCTGTGCAGAGAAGGAGAGGGCTCACACAGAATGCCCTGAGTTACAAACACCTTGCCAGGTGATCTGGCCCTCCTGGCAGTGCTGTGCAGAGGAGGGAGAGGGCTCACACAGGATTCTCTGAGTTACAAACACCTTGCCAGGTGATCTGGCCCCTCTTGGCAGTGCTGTGCAGAGGAGGGAGAGGGCTCACACAGGATTCTCTGAGTTACAAACACCTTTCCAGGTGATCTGGCCCCTCTTGGCAGTGCTGTGCAGAGGAGGGAGAGGGCTCACACACAGTCCCCGATGTCGCCCTGATTTTTTAAGATTTTCTAAGCCTTCTGATGTTTCCATTCTTGTGAGGAACTTTCTCACCCACTTTCTGTAAATAGCTCATTGTTCTGCATTCTTTTCTGGAGGAGGAGACATTTGATGGACTGTGGGGTTGTCCAGTGTCACTGGAGAGGTGGCACTGTCACCCCCCAATCCGCTGTCACTTTTGAAAATCTATAAATGTTGGGGTCAGAAATTAAACTTCCCTTTCTTTCTTTCTTCACCTTGAGAGCAGCAGTGTGTGCTTGTGTTCTCTCGTGTCCCATAGTGACACCCCTGAGCTAAAAACACCAATTCTGGGCGATCTGGCCCCTCCTGGCAGTGCTGTGCTCATGCCCAGCCAGGCCCTGAGCTGTGCCAGCCACCCTGGGGGCTGGCACAGGGCTGGCACGGGGCTGGCACAGGGAACCCCAGCCTGGGGTGGCCGGGAAGGGTCCCCCAAGCCCGGTCAGTGCCACCCCTGCCATGGCAGTGCCACCTTGCCCTGTGCCAGGGGCTCCAGCTCAGCCCTGGTGGAAAGGAGTGACCAGGACAGGTCACACACCTGCTCTGGGGACACCTGGGCTGGGGACAGTGACACTGAGGGGACAGCAAAGAGCCCCATGAGGGCTGGGGACCTCGGGGACAGGCTGTGCCCTCCTGGCAGCAGTGCCAGGCCAGCAGGAGATGCCAGGGAAGGGAAGGGAAGGGAAGGGAAGGGAAGGGAAGGGAAGGGAAGGGAAGGGAAGGGAAGGGAAGGGAAGGGAAGGGAAGGGAAGGGAAGGGAAGGGAAGGGAAGGGGGTGGGACTGGCACAGCAGAAGGGAGGGGAAATGTGTGCCAGGACAGGTCCCTGTGCCACCCAGAGGGGACAGGGGACACACACGGCCTGGGCAGGGCAGGGGACACTCAGGGACAGGGGATACTCAGGGGATACTCAGGAAATGGGGACACTGAGGGAGAGGGGACACTAAGGGGACATTCAGGGGGACATTCAGGGGACACTCAGGGACAGGGGGCACTCAAGGACAGGGGACCCTCAGGGAGAAGGGACAGTGAGGGAAAGGGGACACTCAGGGACAGGGGATATTCAGGGAGAGGGGACACCCAGGGAGGGGGGACACCCCAGGGACACTCAGGGGACAATGAGGGACAGGGGACACTCAGGGGACACTCAGGGAGAAGGGGACACTGAGGGAGGGGGGACATGCAGGGACACTTAGGGACAGGGTACAGTGAGGGAAAGGGGACACCCAGGGGACACTCAGGGGACACTCAGGGACAAGGGACATTCAGGGAGAGGGGACACCCAGGGAGGGGTGACACCCCAGGGACACTCAGGGGACACTCAGGGACAGGGGACATTCAGGGACAGGGAACATTGAGGGAGGGGGGACACCCAGGGATAGGGGACAGCTGGGGGACACCCAGGGAATGGGGACACTCAGGGGACACTCATGACTCAGGGGACCCTCAGGGGACACTCAGGGAGGGAGGAAACTCAGGGAAATGGACACTCAGGGACAGGGGACACTGAGGGAGGGGGGACACAGGAGACACTCAGGGAGAGGGGACAGCTGTGGGACACTCAGGGACAGGGACACTCAGAGATGGGGGACATTCAGGGGGCACTCAGGGCAGGGGACACTCAGGGAGGGGGGACATGCAGGGACACGGGATATTCAGGGGCAGGGGACACCCAGGGAGGGGGGACACCCTGGGGACACCCTGGGGACACTCAGGGGACACAGAAGGAAAGGGGACACTCAGGGAGGGGGGAAACTCAGGGAAATGGACACTCAGGGACAGGGACACTCAGGGACAGGGACACTCAGGGAGGGGGGGGGGCACCCTGGGGACACTCAGGGGACACTGAGGGGCAGGGGACACTCAGGGACAGGAAAATTCAGGGGACACTGAGGGACAGGGGACACTCAGGGAGGGGGGACACTCAGGGGACATTCAGGGGACACTCAGGGAAATTTTGGGAGAAGATGAGAAGATTTTGGGAGAAGATGAGATTCCAGCAGGGGTAAAAATGAGGTTCCAGCAGGGGGAAATCTGGGGAAAAATCTCAGATTCCAGTGGGGTGAAATCTGGGGGAAGATGAGATTCCAGCAGGGGGAATCTGGGAGAAAATTTGAGATTCCAACAGGCGGAAAGATGAAATTCCAGCAGGGGGAAATTTGGGGAAAAAAAAGAGATTCCAGAAGGGGGAATTTTGAGGTGAGATGAGATTCCAGCAGGAGGAGATTAGGGAAAGATGAGATTCCAGCAGAGGGAAATTTGGAGGAAAAGATGAGATTCCAGCAGAGGGAAATTTGGGGGAAAAGATGAGATTCCAGCAGGGATAAATCTGGGGGAAGATGAGATTCTAGCAGGGGGAAATCTGGGGGGAAAGTTGAGATCCCTACAGGGGGAAATTTGGGGAAAAAATGAGATTCCAGCAGGGGGAAATTTAGAGGAAGATGAGATTCCAACAGGGGGAAACTTGGGGAAAAAGATGAGATTACAGCAGGGAGAAAGATGAGATTCCAGCAGGGGGAAATCTGGGGGAAAATCTGAGATCCTGCGGGGAAATCTGGGGGAAAAAATGAGATTCCAACAGGGGGAAATCTGAGATTCCAGCAGGGGGAAATTTGGGGGAAAATCTGAGATTCTAGCAGGAGGAAATTTGATGTGAGATGAGATTCCAGCAGGGGGAAGATGAGATTCCAGCAGGGAGAAATTTGGGGGAAAAATGAGATTCCAGTGGGGGGGAATTTGGGGTAAAAATGATGAGATTCCAACAGGGGAAATTTGGGGACAAAGATGAGACTCCAACAGGAGGAAATCTGGAGGAAGATGAGATTCCAGCAGGGGGAAATATGGGGGAAAAAAATGGGATTCTGGCAGGGGGAAAATGAGATTCCAGCAGGGGAAATTTGAGAAAGATGAGATTCCAGCAGGGGAAATTTGAGAAAGATGAGATTCCAGCAGGGGGAGATGTGGGGAAAACTATGAGATTCCAGCATGGGGAAATTTGGGGTGAGAGGAGATTCCAGCAGGGGGAAACTGGGGGAAAAAAAAGATGAGATTCTAGCAGGGGAAAGAAAATGAAATTTCAGCAGGGAGAAATTTGGAGGAAAAGATGAGATTCCAGCAGGGGGAGGTTTGGTGTGAGATTCCAGCAGGGCCACAGAGAGGAACGAACCCATTTGGGATCAATCAGGGTTTGTGAGAGGGGCTCTCAGTGCCCGGGCTGGGGGTGAAACCAGGGCCACCCCCAGTGTCCCCAGTGTCCCCAGTGAGTGTCCCCAGGCTCACAAAGGTGGCAATCAGGGCTGGAGGGTGAAACCAGGGCCACCCCCAGTGTCCCCAGCGAGTGTCCCTGGGCTCACAAAGGTGGCAATCAGGGCTGGGGACACCCAGGGCCACCCCAGTGAGTGTCCCTGGGATCAGGGGCTCCTCAGGTGGCTCCCAAAGGTGGCAATCAGGGCTCGGGGGTGAAACCAGGGCCACCCCCAGTGTCCCCAGTGTCCCCAGTGTGTGTCCCTGGGCTCACAAAGGTGGCAATCAGGGCTGGGGGTGAAACCAGGGCCACCTCCAGTGTCCCCAGTGAGTGTCCCCAGGCTCACAAAGGTGGCAATCAGGGCTGGGGGTGAAACCAGGGCCACCCCAGTGTGTGTCCCCGGGCTGGCACTGACCGTGCCCCGCTCCTCAGGTGGCTCACAAAGGTGGCAATCAGGGCGTGCTCCTCCCGGCACGGCTCGGGGCTGCTGCAGCTGCGGGGCTGGCACCTGGCAGGGGCGGGGAGAGCAGAGAAACAACAACAAAAACTCCGTAAATTCGGGCAGATTCGGGAAATGTGGGCTCCGTGGGGGCACTGCTGCTGCTCAGACAATGGGAGGGGACGCTGGGGGACAGCCAGGCACCCAGGGAGGGGTTGGCACCTGGAGGTGGCACTGAGTGCCCTGGGCTGGGACTGGGTGGCCTTGGAGGGCTTTCCCAGCCTCAGGGGCTCTGGAAACAAACCCTGTGCTATAACATGAACTATTCAGATTAGAAGAGCACTCAGTGCAAACCTCCAATCAGCCAGTGCAAAACAACAACTAAATGCCACAGACACATTTTATGAGAAATCCTTTCCTTAGGATTTTTCCTTCTGAGAAGCTGAGAGGCCTCAGGAACAAAATGCAACCAATGGTTATCTGCTGCTGTGGAATGCAACAGGTGCATCTGGGATTGGTCCCATGTGGTTGTTTCTAATTAACGGCCAATCACAGCCCAGCTGGCTCGGACAGAGTTTTGTTATTCTTTTTTTTGCTATTCTTAGGTAGCCTTCTGATGAAATCTATACTATTCAAAACTATATATATATATATATCAATATATCTATCAAAATATAATATAATATAATATAATATAATATAATATAATATAATATAATATAATATAATATAATATAATATAATATAATATAATATAATATAATATATACATAGCATATAATATATATAACATATCATATATATAAAACATATATATTATATAACATATAATATATATATTATATATATTTTATATATATATCTATATATATATATATATATATATAATCTCAAAACTATACTATTCTTTTAGTATAGTTTTAATGCAATATATATGATAAAATAACAAATCAACCCTTCTGAAACCTGGAGTCAGATCCCCGTCTCTTCCCTCCCCCTGGGACCCCTGTGAGCACAGTCACAGCTAATAAAGTACCCAGTGCAATGGAGCAGAAATGTTCACTGAGGGCAGCTGTGCAGCCCCCCGGGATTCCCAGTGGGATCTTTAGGGAAGAGCACAGAGAATCCAACCCCAGCAGCATTCCCTGCTCCCAGAATCCCAAATCCAGAACCCTTCAGCAGGAAAATCCCTTCAGCCCATCCAGTCCCAGCTGTGCCCAGTGCCCACCTTGTCCCCAGCCCAGGGCACTCAGTGCCACATCCAGGTGACACCTGCAGGGATGGGCACCCCAAACCTCCCTGGGCAGCCCCTGCCAAGGCCTGAGCCCCCTTTCCATGCAGAAATTCCTCCTGGTGTCCACCCTGAGCCTGCCCTGGCCCAGCCTGAGGCCATTTCCCCTTGGCCAGAGCAGCTGCTGCAGTGCAGAGACCTGGGGGCTCCACCTGGTGAACACGACCCCAAAACATCACAGGTATCTATCAATAACTGTGAACAGGTAAATAATTGTGTTTCTGCGCTATCCTGACAGCTTCCTGCAGCAGGAGCTCAGGGGATGGACCCAAACCCAGTGGAAATTGCAGAAAAAATGGGGTTTTTTATGTTTTTAAAAATTATTTATAAATATAATATGATAATATATAAAGTTATTTATCAATAACTGTGAACAGGTAAATAATTGTGTTTCTGTGCTCTCCTGACAGCTTCCTGCAGGAGGAGCTCAGGGGATGGACCCAAACCCAGGGGAAATGCAGAAAAAATGGGGTTTTTTTTATGTTTTTAAAAATTATTTATAAATATAATATAATAATATATAAAGTTATTTATCAATAACTGTGAACAGGTAAATAATAGTGTTTCTGTGCTCTCCTGACAGCTTCCTGCAGCAGGACCTCAGGGAATGGACCCAAACCCAGGGGAAATTGCAGAAAAAATGGGTTTTTTTATGTTTTAAAAAAAATATTTATAAATATAATAATATATAAAATTATGTATAAATATAATTTAATAATATACAAAGTTACAAAGTTCTTTATAAATAACTGTTAACAGATAATCTGTGTTTCTGTGCTCTCCTGACAGCTTCCTGCAGCAGGACATCAGGGGATGGAGCCAAACCCCAGGGAAAATGCAGAAAAGAAAGGTTTTTTATGTTTTTAAAAGTTATTTATAAATATAATAACATATAAAATTATAAAGTTATTTATAAATAATGGTTAATAGATAAATAACTGGTATTTCTGTGCTCTCCTGACAGCTTCCTGCAGCAGGACCTCAGGGGATGGACCCAAACCCAGGGGAAATGCAGCAAAAATGGGGTTTTGTGTTTTTAAAATTATTTATAAATATAATAACATAAAGAGTTATAAAGTCATTTATCAATAACTGTTAACAGATAAATAATTGTGTTTCTGTGCTATTCTGACAGCTTCCTGCAGCAGGACCTCAGGGGATGGACCCAAACCCAGGGGAAATTGCAGCAAAAAAGGTTTTTTATATTTTTAAAAGTCATTTATAAATATAATATAATAATATATAAAGTTATAAAGTTATTTATAAATATAATATGATAACATATAAAGTTATTTATCAATGACTTTTAACAGATAAATAACTGTTTCTGTGCTCTCCTGACAGCTTCCTGCAGCAGGAGCTCAGGGGATGGAGCCAAACCCAGGGGAATTGCAGCAGAAATGGTGTTTTATGTGTTTAAAATGTCTTTTTTTAGCCCAGACAGGGGCACGAAGGCACAGCAAACAGGAACTCCCTGCTCTGCCCCCTCTGAGGAGCCAGAACCCCCAATCTCACACACACAAACACTTTTCTCCTGGGTTACCAGCAGGGACACGGCCAAAACTGGTTAAAAAGAGTTTAAAAAGGGGAATTTAAAAAGAGTTCAAAGAGTCACAAGATTTTATTATCATTCTTTTCTATTTCCTTTCCTTTCCTTTCCCCTTTCCTTTCCTTTCCTTTCCTTTCCTTTCCTTTCCTTTCCTTTCCTTTCCTTTCCTTTCCTTTCCTTTCCTTTTCCCTTTCCTTTCCTTTCCTTTCCTTTCCTTTCCTTTCCTTTCCTTTCCTTTCCTTTCCTTTCCTTTCCTTTCCTTTCCTTTCCTTTCCTTTCCTTTCCTTTCCTTTCCTTTCCTTTCCTTTCCTTTTCCCTTTCCTTTTCCCTTTCCTTTCCTTGAAATTTCCTTTCCTTTCCTTGAAATTTCCTTGAAATTCCCTTGAAATTTCCTATTTCCTTTCCTTGAAATTTCCTTTCCTTTCCTTTTTCCTTTCCCTGAAATTTCCTTAAAATTTCCTTTTCCTTTCCCTTTTCCTTTCCCTTTTCCTTTCCTTCTGATGAAATCCTTTCTTCTATTTTTTCACTATTGGTAGTTGGGGTGTTAGGAGGAGTTGTGTTTTAGTGTTCATTATTTTTGAGGTGGTTTGGATCTTTTTATAGGTTGTTAAATTTTTTTTTTTTGTTGGCTTTAGACGTTTTGTAGCTTTGATTTTAAAATTTTAGTGGTTGGTTCTGAGTTTCTTGAGGTATTTTTTGTTAAAGATTTTAGGATAAAATATGGGGTTTGGTTGTAGAGTACATTTTTTATATTTGGGGTTGTTTTGACTGGGTTAAGTGTTATTGTTTGAGTGATTTTTTGTTTGATTTGGGCAGGACAGGACCTCTGCTCCCACTGCAAACCCAAGAGATTTTCAGATTTTCTGGAAACCCAAGAGATTTTCAGATTTTCCCAGAGGTCCAAGAGACTCCTGGGAATTTCTGCTGCTCTTTGCTGATGCCCTTTCAGTGCTCCCCAGTGTTGTTATTATTATTATTATTATTATTATTATTATTATTATTATTATTATTATTATTATCATCATCATCATCATCATTATAATTATCATTATTTAATATTATATTATTTTCACATTATATTATTTTTACATTATTTATTTTTATTATACTATATTTTTATATTATATTATTTTCTATTATATTTTCTATTATATTATTTTTATATTATTATTATTTTATATTATTGTATTTTTTGGTTTTAAGTTACTGTATTATTATTTAATGCAGTTTTTGTGTAATAGGAAAAAATGGTTTTGTTTATGGTTATATAAGAAAAGAGTTTAGTTAAAGGTTATTTTATTATTTTTTATTTAGGTTTTTAAATTTTTTAAACTTTTTTATTTGTTTAAACTTTTATTATATTGATTTTTTATTTTATGTTTGTGTTTTTAATTTAAATTAAGGAGGTTTAATGTTTTAGAAAGTTTTTATTGTTTTTATTTAAGTTTTTACTGTTTTATTGTCCTGAGGATGCTCAGGGTTAATGTTTTAGAAAGTTTTAATTTAATTTTTTATTTAAGTTTTTTATTTTTGTTTTATTGATTGTTTTTATTTAGGTTTTTATTGATTGTTTTTATTTAAGTTTTTATTTTTGTTTTATTTATTGTTTAAATTTAGTGGGGTTTTTTTGTTTTATTTATTGCTTCTATTTAAGTTTTTATTGTTTTATTGTCCTGAGGATGCTCAGGGTTAATGTTTTAGAAAGTTTTCATTGAAGTTTTAATTTCTTTGTTTTATTTATTTAATAAATAACATTTTAAAACAAATATTTAATAAATAAATTTTTATTTAATAAATAAAATTTAAAAGAAATATTTATTTATTTTATTTAAGTTTTTATTGTTTTATTGCCCTGAGGATGCTCAGGTTTAATGTTTTAGAAAGTTTTTATTGTTTTTATTAAGGTTTGGTTTTTTTCTGGGATTCTGGGGTTCTGATATCAGACAGAGCAGTGGGAGCTGCCAGAGCAGGGGAAAAAGGGATTTTCTGGGGGAAAAAAAAAGGGATTTTCCCAGGGAAAAGGGGATTTTCCAGGGGGAAAAAGGGATTTACCAGGGGGAAAAAAAAGGATTTTCCAGGGGTAAAAGGGGATTTTCCAGGGAAATAAAAGGGTTTTTCCTGTCCCCTCCCTGCCAGGTGCACTTGCAGGAGCCAGGTGAGGGATGGATCCAGGCCCAGGCTGCTCCAAAGTGGGGAATTCCAGCCCAAAAAGGGCTGGGAAGGTGCTGAGAGACACAGGGAGGCTCCTGCAGGAGTCTGAACCTGCCTGGGGACAGAGGGACAGGGACAGAGGGACAGAGGGACAGGGACAGAGGGACAGGGACAGAGGGACAGAGGGACAGAGGGACAGAGGGACAGAGGGACAGAGACAGAGGGACAGAGGGACAGAGGGACAGAGGGACAGGGACAGAGGGACAGGGACAGAGGGACAGAGGGACAGGGACAGAGGGACAGGGACAGAGGGACAGGGACCCCAGCGGGAGGGGAAAGATCCGTTCCTGGAGGGATTTCAAATCAATTCATTCGAATCAATTAATTCAAATCAATGAATTCAAATCAATGAATTCAAATCAATTAATTCAAATCAATTAATGAACTGCTGCCTGCCCAGGGCTGGCCCAGGGGCCAATGAGGCTCAGAGGGGGCCTGGAAATGGCCCAGCCAGGGAGCCAGGGCACCCCAGAAGCCCAGAATGCAACAACTCCAGAACCCCCAAAATATATATAATATATAATATATAATATATAATATATAATATATAATATATAATATATAATATATAATATATAATATATAATATATAATATATAATATGCAATATGCAATATGCAATATATAATATGCAATATATAATATGCAATATATAATATATAATATATAATATATAATATATAATATATAATATATATTTGCATTTATTTGTATTTATTTATTACCCAACTCTGTCAAGCACAGCCTGCACCTTGCTCAGCAGGAACATTTATTTACTTAAATATAATATAATATAATGTAATGTAATGTAATGTAATGTAATATAATATAATGTAATGTAATATAATGTAATGTAATATAATATAATGTAATGTAATATAATGTAATGTAATATAATATAATATAGTGTAATAAATTGTAATCTAATATAATGTAATATAATATAATATTTATTTATAATATTTATTTGTTTGTTTGTTTCCCAGCTCTGCCCAGCACAGCCTGCAGCTCGCTGCTCAGCAAGAACATTAATATAATATAATATAATATAATATAATATAATATAATATAATATAAGGATTATAATACAATGTAATATAATGTAATATATTATAATGTAATATAATATAATGTAATATAATATAATGTAATGTAATATTTTTTATTTATAATATTTGTTTGTTTGTTTGTTTGTTTCCCAGCTCTGCCCAGCACAGCCTGCACCCCACTGCTCCCCTCAGATTAATTCCTTGGGCAAGTGAAAGTCACCAAAGTCACCATTCCTGCCCTGGAGAGCTCATCCCAGCACCATTCCCAGCCCCAGGGCAGCCCCAGGAGCTGAGCTGGGTCACCTGAGAGGTGACACGGGCACAGGGGCTGGCACACCTGAGAGGTGACACAGGGACAGGGCCTGGCACACCTGAGAGGTGACACAGGGACAGGGCCTGGCACACCTGGGGTGTGACACAGGGACAGGGCCTGGCACACCTGGGATGTGACACAGGGACAGGGCCTGGCACACCTGAGAGGTGACACGGGCACAGGGCCTGGCACACCTGAGAGGTGGCACCGGGCACACAAAACCAGCTGGGAAAGGCAAAACCTGCTCAGGAGCTCCCTGGCACAGCCAGGAACAGAAACCCTTGGAGAGGGCACCTCCTGCAGGGCAGCCTGCCAGAGAGCTGGCACAGCTGGCACAGCTGGCACAGCTGGCACCCCTGTCCCTGCCCAGCTGTCACCCCTGGCACCCCTGGCACTCCCTGGCACCCCTGTCCCCCCTTGCCCAGCAGTGAGGCAGGTGAGGCCCCTGTACCTTTTGGTTGGCGTGGGCGCTCCCGAGGACACGTGGGTGACCAGGGCCTCGTTCATGTTAGCCACGGGCCTGGGGGGGCTGCAACACACAGAGAGATGGTTAGAGAGAGGAAATGCAAATGGGAACAGCCAAAAACTGACAGGGATCCTGTTAGAGAGAGAAAATGCGAATGGGAACAGCCAAAAACTGACAGGGATCCTGCTAGAGAGAGACAATGCAAATGGGAACAGCCAAAAACTGACAGGGATCCTGTTAGAGAGAGGAAATGCAAATGGGAACAGCCAAAAACTGACAGGGATCCTGTTAGAGAGAGGAAATGCAAATGGGAACAGCCAAAAACTGACAGGGATCCTGTTAGAGAGAGACAATGCAAATGGGAACAGCCAAAAACTGACAGGGATCCTGTTAGAGAGAGGAAATGCAAATGGGAACAGCCAAAAACTGACAGGGATCCTGTTAGAGAGAGACAATGCAAATGGGAACAGCCAAAAACTGACAGGGATCCTGTGAGAGCAGAGAAACTACCCTACACAGACAGGGATCCTGTTAGAGATGAGAAAATACAAAAGGAAACAGACAGGGATCATGTTAGAGGGCAGGAAAACAACCAAAACCAGACAGGGAGACTGTGAGAGAGAGAAAAACAAATGGGAACAACCCAAAACAGACAGGGATGCTGTTAGAGAGCAGAAAATACACAAGGAAACAGACAGGGATGCTGTTAGAGGGCAGGAAAACAACCCAGGACAAACAGGGATCCTGTCAGAGAGGAGAAAATACAAAAGGAAACAGCCCAACACTACCGGGGATCCTGTTAGAGAGGAGAAAAACAAGGAAACAAACAGGGATGCTGTTAGAGGGCAGGAAATACAAATGGAAACAACTCAACACAGACAGGGATGCTGTTAGAGGGCAGGAAAACCAACAAGGAAAGAACCCAGGACAAACAGGGATCCTGTGAGAGAGGAGAAAATACAAAAGGAAACAGACAGGGATCCTGTTAGAGAGCATAAAAACCAACAAGGAGAGAGCCCAGCACTGCCAGGGACACTGAGAGAGCAGAAAATACAAAAGGAAACAACCCAGCAGTGACAGGGATCCTGTTAGAGAGCAGAAAAACAACCCAAAAGAGACAGCAATCCTGTTAGAGAGCAGGAAAACCAACAAGGAAACAGCCCAGGATAAACAGGGATCCTGTGAGAGAGAGGAAAACAACCCAGGACAAACAGGGATCCTGTTAGAGAGGAGAAAAACCATCAGGGACAGCCCAGCACTGCCAGGGATCCTGTGAGAGAAGAAAATACAAAAGGAAACAACCCAGAAGTGACAGGGATCCTGTTAAAGAGCAGAAAAACAACCCAAAATAGCCAGGGATCCTGTTAGAGAGCAGGAAAACCAACAAGGAAACAACCCAACATGGACAGGAATCCTGTTAGAGGGCAGAGAAACCACCCTAGACAGACAGGGAGCCTGTTAGAGAGCAGGAAATACAAATGGGAACAACCCAACACAGACAGGGAGCCTGTTAGAGGGAAGGAAATACAAAAGGAAACAGCCCAGGATAAACAGGGATCCTGTTAAGAGCAGGTAAACAACCCAACAGTGACAGGGATCCTGTTAAAGAGCAGGAAAACCAACAAGGAAACAACCCAATGTGGACAGGGATCCTGTGAGAGGGCAGAGAAACCACCCTACACAGACAGGGATGCTGTTAGAGAGGAGAAAAACCACCAGGGACAGCCCAGAACTGCCAGGGAACCTGTGAGAGATGAGAAAATACAAAAGGAAACAACCCAGGACACACAGGGATCCTGTTAGAGAGCAGAGAAAATAATAGGGACAATCCAGCAGTGACAGGGATCCTGTTAGAGAGCAGAAAATACAAATGGGAACAACCCAGCACAGACAGGGATGCTGTTAGAGGGCAGGAAAACCAACAAGGAAAGAACCCAGGATAAACAGGGATCCTGTGAGAGAGCAGAGAAACAACCCAGGACAAACAGGGATCCTGTCAGAGAGGAGAAAACACAAAAGGAAACAGCCCAACACAGACAGGGATTTGATTAGAGGGTAGAGAAACAACCCAGCAGTGACAGGGATCCTGTTAGAGGGTAGAAAATACAGAAGGAAACAGACAGGGATCCTGTTAGAGAGCATAAAAACCAACAAGGAGAGAGCCCAGCACTGCCAGGGACACTGAGAGAGCAGAAAATACAAAAGGAAACAACCCAGAAGTGACAGGGATCCTGTTAGAGAGCAGAAAAACCAACAAGGAAACAACCCAACATGGACAGGGATCCTGTGAGAGAGCAGAGAAAACACCCTACACAGACAGGGAACCTGTTAGAGAGCAGGAAATACAAATGGAAACAACCCTACACAGACAGGGATGCTGTTAGAGGGCATAAAAAGCCACCAGGGACAGCCCAGCACTGCCAGGGATCCTGTGAGAAATGAGAAAATACAAAAGGAAATAACCCAGGACACACAGGGATCCTGTTAGAGAGGAGAAAATACGAAAGGAAACAGCCCAACACAGACAGGGATTTGATTAGAGGGTAGAGAAACAACCCAGCAGTGACAGGGATCCTGTTAAAGAGCAGAAAAACAACCCAAAAGAGACAGCAATCCTGTTAGAGAGCAGGAAAACCAACAAGGAAACAGCCCAGGATAAACAGGGATCCTGTGAGAGAGAGGAAAACAACCCAGAACAGACAGAGATCCTGCTAGAGAGGAGAAAAACCACCAGGGACAACTCAGCACTGCCAGGGATCCTGTGAGAGAGCAGGAAATACAAAAGGAAACAGCCCAAAAGAAACAGCAATCCTGTTAGAGAGCAGAGAAACCACCCTACACAGACAGGGATCCTGTTAGAGAGGAGAAAATACAAAAGGAAACAACCCAGAAGTGACAGGGGTCCTGTTAAAGAGCAGAAAAACAACCCAAAAGAGACAGGAATCCTGTTAAAGAGCAGAAAAACAACCCAAAAGAGACAGGGATCCTCTTAGAGAGCAGGAAATACAAAAGGAAACAGACCAGGATAAACAGGGCTGTTAAAATCCTGTTAAGAGCAGGTAAACAACCCAACAGTGACAGGGATCCTGTTAAAGAGCAGGAAAACCAACAAGGAAACAACCCAATGTGGACAGAGATCCTGTGAGAGGGCAGGAAATACAAAAGGAAACAGCCCAGGATAAACAGGGATCCTGTTAGAGAGCATAAAAAACCGCCAGGGACAGCCCAGCACAGCCAGGGATGCTGTTAGAGAGCAGAGAAACAACTCAGGATAAACAGGGATCCTGTTAGAGGGCAGGAAATACAAAAGGAAACAGCCCAACAGCCCAAAAAAGGCACAGGACTGGGTTTGTCCCTCTGAGACACTCCTGAGAGCCATGAAAAAATAGCCTGGAAACACCTAAAATACTTAAAACAGGGTTTTTTTAACTATTGAAATTAATATTTAAATGAAAAATATTCTGGATTCAGCTACCAAGGAAGGATTTTTGTGGCTTGATAACCTCAGCAGGAATCCAAACTATCCAGGCAGGAGAATGGTCAGCAAGGGAATGGTCAGTGAGGGAATGGTCAGCAGGGAATGGTCAGCAGGGAATGGTCAGTGAGGGAATGGTCAGTGAGGGAATGGTCAGTGAGGGAATGGTCAGCAGGGAATGGTCAGTGAGGGAATGGTCAGTGAGGGGAATGGTCAGCAGGGAATGGTCAGTGAGGGAATGGTCAGTGAGGGAATGGTCAGCAGGGAATGGTCAGCAGGGAATGGTCAGCAGGGAATGGTCAGTGAGGGAATGGTCAGTGAGGGAATGGTCAGTGAGGGAATGGTCAGCAGGGAATGGTCAGCAGGGAATGGTCAGTAGGGAATGGTCAGTGAGGGAATGGTCAGTGAGGGAATGGTCAGTGAGGGAATGGTCAGTGAGGGAATGGTCAGCAGGGAATGGTCAGTGAGGGAATGGTCAGTGAGGGAATGGTCAGTGAGGGAATGGTCAGCAGGGCATGGTCAGCAGGGCATGGTCAGCAGGGAGTGGTCAGTGAGGGAATGGTCAGCAGGGAATGGTCAGCAGGGAATGGTCAGTGAGGGAATGGTCAGTGAGGGAATGGTCAGTGAGGGAATGGTCAGTGAGGGAATGGTCAGCAGGGAATGGTCAGCAGGGAATGGTCAGTGAGGGAGTGGTCAGTGAGGGAATGGTCAGCAGGGAATGGTCAGTGAGGGAATGGTCAGCAGGGAATGGTCAGTGAGGGAATGGTCAGCAGGGAATGGTCAGTGAGGGAATGGTCAGTGAGGGAGTGGTCAGTGAGGGAATGGTCAGCAGGGAATGGTCAGTGAGGGAATGGTCAGTGATGGAATGGTCAGCAGGGAATGGTCAGTGAGGGAATGGTCAGTGAGGGAATGGTCAGCAGGGAATGGTCAGCAGGGAATGGTCAGTGAGGGAATGGTCAGGAGGGAATGGTCAGCAGGGAATGGTCAGCAGGGAACGGTCAGTGATGGAATGGTCAGTGAGGGAATGGTCAGCAAGGGAATGGTCAGTGATGGAATGGTCAGTGAGGGAATGGTCAGTGAGGGAATGGTCAGCAGGGAATGGTCAGTGAGGGAATGGTCAGTGATGGAATGGTCAGTGAGGGAATGGTCAGCAGGGAATGGTCAGTGAGGGAATGGTCAGTGTGGGAATGGTCAGCAGGGAATGGTCAGTGAGGGAATGGTCAGCAGGGAATGGTCAGCAGGGAATGGTCAGCAGGGAATGGTCAGTGAGGGAATGGTCAGCAGGGAATGGTCAGTGAGGGAATGGTCAGCAGGGAATGGTCAGTGAGGGAATGGTCAGTGAGGGAATGGTCAGTGAGGGAATGGTCAGCAGGGAATGGTCAGTGAGGGAATGGTCAGCAGGGAATGGTCAGTAGGGAATGGTCAGTGAGAGAATGGTCAGCAGGGAATGGTCAGTGAGGGAATGGTCAGCAGGGAATGGTCAGCAGGGAATGGTCAGCAGGGAATGGTCAGTGAGGGAATGGTCAGCAGGGAATGGTCAGTGAGGGAATGGTCAGTGAGGGGAATGGTCAGCAGGGAATGGTCAGTG